CAAATTTTTGCATACAAGATGTGATTTCTTCAGCTAGCGTTACTTCGTATTCTTTAGCTTGCCTGTGATAAATTTTTTCTTCAATTGTTCCACTGGTCAGTAACCTGTAAATGGTCACAGATCGCTCCTGTCCAATACGCCATGCCCGTTCACGAGCCTGGAAATTAATTTAAAATTTTCAAAAGTAAATATAATTCCATAAGGATTAGGGGATAGGAGCTGCAACTTAATACGGCTCCTCATACTGTTATTCTCACAGTTCATCAGCGAATGAGAATAGTATATCCTTCCAGTGCAACTCCCTTCACAAATTCACAGTAAGCAAGCCACAGGACCACACAACTCGGCGAACAGAATGTGACAGATTCCATAATTCCCGCCCGAAAAGCAAGAAGAAAAGGGAGAAACTGACGCCCCGATAACAGTGGGAAGACTGTCAGGCGCTGCAGCGTCGGACACAAGCATGAAAAAAAATGCTAGCTGTGACGGAAAAGTGAAGACATGCAACGACGAAGCGCAAAATGGCTGGGCGATTAAAATATACAGATGAACAGTAACAAGAAAAATGAGCAGAGCAATCCAAAAAATGCGCACGGTAATTTTAAAATACGCCGTTATCTCAGAAATAATGCACATACTTGTATGTCGGTAGACGGATTCCAGTCTGGATCAAAAATCACCACACGATTTGCACCCGTAAGATTGATGCCTAATCCACCAACGCGAGTAGTTAGGAGAAAAATAAAGATTTCATCGTGCTGAAAAATTGTAAAATATGCAATCAGTGGCGGAAAACCCTTGCATATTTAAAAATGTAAAAGCAATAATACCAGATACATGATGCAATAGTCAGGGCTAATCCTTGAAATATGTGGAGAATTGGAGGAAACAGGCAAAATCCACACATTAAAAAAAAAGCCAGTAGTTAATTCCCATCTTTGAAACATACCGCAACAAATCCTGTCTTTTATTTGACAATGCTGTTTTGAGAGAAAGCAGACAGTATCTACAAAAAGTAGCGCACAAAAAATGACTATTTTTGGGAACATTTTTGAGTTAGTTACAAGCGCACGGCGCACATTCAAACCAGCAGCTAAGTTTCCCTTTTAATACCAATCTCTTCATTACACTAACAGTGGACCAGAAACTGATTACTGACAAGCTGCCAAAACGTTTCAACATTTTAGTTGTAACATTCAAACCCCAACCAGAAGTGCCAAAACATAGCATCCCAGGGAGGCGAGACCAATCAAATGTAACAAGAAAAAATCACCTTATTAAATTTTTCAACTAACGGTTGTCGTTTTGCAACAGCTGTTGAGCCATCCATCCGCAAGTAGTTGTATCTAGAAAAAGCAGAAAGTCAGGACAAAAAAGTTAAAAAGTCAAAATCACAGATCATTTCTGTGAAAAGACTGAAACATTCTTAAGTGGCAACAGTGAAAGAATTTGGCCCAAAAAGAAGGGATCGCTAAGGAAACGATTTATGCGAAGTTTAGCAGGAATATATGGTTCGAATTATCCGAACCATATATTCCCACTAAACTTCCCTACTAAAACTCAGTGGTCCGAATCATCCCTTTTCAATTACTTTCTCTCCCTCTCTATGATAATACACAATATTTTTGCAAATTTCCTGTATACTCTTCCTAATTACTAATTTTTTCTGTTTAACCCTGATCCATATTCACTGCTCCTGCCTTCTACTAGCACAGAAAACATTCCCTATT